TGAGTTCAAGGCCAGCCTGGGCTACCAAGTGAGTTCCAGGAAAGGCGCAAAGCTACACAGAGAAACCCTGTCTCAAAAAACCAAAAAAAAAAAAAATGTAAAAATAATAGCCCTAATTCGGCAGTGGTGGCACACGCCTTTAATCCCAGCATTTGGAAGGCAGAAGCAGGTGGATCTCTGTGAGTTCCAGGCCAGCCTGATCTACAGAGTGAGTTCAAGGAGAGCCAGGGCTACACAGTGAGTTTTGGGACAGCTAGGGCTATGTAGAGAGACCCTGTCTCAAAAACCAAAATAAAACAAGTCTAAAAAGAATAGCATTTGGCTGTTGGCTGTTGTGGCCCCTGCTTCTTTATTGCCCTGCAGTTCTTGTTACCTCTTGGAAGGTTCGTTCCACATCTTCAATCAACTGGTTGCGGTTATAGTTGTAGCCTTCTGCTCCCTCTGCTTCATAATCCCCTCGCCAGTAATCCCCATAATCTCTATAATCTGTTTTTGAAAGGGAAAGAGGGGAGCATTAAGGAAATAAAAACAGGGAAATGCAGTTTACATAGATTAGTCTTGGTGGGAGAGTAAAAAATATATTAAGGATTATCACATTCTTGTTGCCCTTCTACATGTCAGCTCAAAAGAATACAAATGAAAGACAGGACTTGCTAATTAAGTTAAGCAGTTGTTCCTCGGGAGTTTAAATAGATTGTCTGGTTTAATAAACACAGAAACCATTCAATATTGTGACCATTCGAAAGCCCATTGTGCTGATTTACAACCTGTGCTTTTTAAATATATGAATTCCATGAAAAGTTCACATGATGTATTTTATCATATCCACCCGCTACTCCTTTCCCTAACTTATCCCAGATCCAAGACTCAGAAGCCACTTCAGAAGAATGGGCAGAAAGACATTTTATGAGCCAGAGGTCAAGGAGGACACAAGTGAAATCATGACTTCTGTACATGACAGGGCTTTGTACTCATGAACTCATGAAGCTGTGGTTATCTGCACAAACCTGTATAACCTGTGGCTTTTTGGAAATAAAATTTAGTGTGTATTTTTCAGGCCATATAACATGATGTTATGATACCTATGTAGTAAAATGCTTATTATAGGGACACAAATTAACATCTCACAGTTACCCATTTTTTTGCCTTGACAAGAGCAAAGATAATATGTTCATTTACGAAAAATCCTGAATACTGTAGGCTATTTTTCACTGTAGTCCTCATATTGTACAAGTGATCTTTAGCCTTGTTTGTCCTAACTGTTAGGTTTAAAGCTCTCCTTCCCCCTCAGAATGGCAGTGCTGGTGACATTGTCCTAAACAGGAGGACTTAGCCAGGTAAACAGGACTGTTACCAGGTAAACAAGCCTAAGGGCAGTTTGTTTACCAGAGAAGCAGGTCTCCTAAAGGGGTTCCTGTTTGTCAGGAACCACTCTTAATCTTCCAGGAACCCCCCTTAGCCTTCCCCCAAATGTCAACCACCTTGGGCAAGTACCCCTGCTTCCAGTCAATCTCCACAGTCTGTATCAGCTCAGATCCCCACACTGCTGACAGTCATATAAGACCTCTTTTCTACCACTTTGCTCTTCTCTCTGCTCAAAGCCTAGAGTTTGATCCCCAATAAACCTTTCTTTCTACCCATTGATTGGTCCTATTCAGTTGTTTCTCCATGCTGTTGTTTATACTATCTATAAACTATAGTTTATACTATACTACACTTAGAATCCTTTGGCCTATATATTCCCATTTCCTCCCATCACTCTAGTAATGACAATTTTATTATTTTTTGTTTGTTTGTTTGATTTTTCAAGACAGGGTTTCTCTGTGTAGTCTTGACTGTCCTGGAACTTGCTCTGTAGACCAGCCTGGCCTCGAACTCACAGACATCCACCTGCCTCTGCCTCCCGAGTGCTAGGATTAAAAGCATGCACCACCACGGCCCAGGGACATTTTTATTATTTTTCTATTTAGCTAGTTGGTCCTTTAACTTAAAGATTCTATATTTAAGTCAGATCATGTGGTATTTTTCTTCCTGTTGCACTTATTTCACTTAGCATACTGCCATCCAGGCCCATCTATATTGTGGCCAATGGCAACATTTTTAATGGCTAAATAGCATTCTATTATATATTGTATAACTTTTATTTCATATATATATATATATATACACACATTCTATGGTTTATTTATCCATTTGTCTGTTAATGGACACCTGATTTGCTTCCCCATTGTGGCTATTGTTAATAATGTTGTGATGAATGTAGGTATCTGAGGACATGCCCAGAAAAAGGATTAGAATATCATTAGTTCTATCTGAAAGTTCTCTAGGAACTATGGAGGCCCACAAAGGTTTCCTAGTGAGATCTGAGCTTACTTTATCCAGCAGGGCTGCATTAGAGGATTGCTTGACCATGTGCATGGTTTCTAGGTGATTGGAAGGGTCTACACTTGGCTGTGCTAGGGGGAGGTCTTTTGCTCCACCCCTTGGCATTTCTATAAATTATTCTATATATAGCCCTTTAGGAGAGATAGGAGGGGTCTGTGGATAAGGATCCAAGCCCTCCCGAGGCTATTCTGTGTTTCTATTTGTTTCTCTACCCTCTATCCTTCTATCTAAATCTCTTATCCCTCACTCCTCAAGAGTACCCTGGGGTAAAATGTGGGAGCTGGTCTCCCAGCTGGTCTCCCACAAGGAACCACCAGACCATTTTCCATAATAGATGCATCAATCTACATCCCACCAATTACCTGTGCTTAGAGCAGTAAAATCCACTTGTCCAAAGTCACATAGCTAGCAAGGGGCAGAAAAAATGTACTAATTGTCAAATGTCCCTAAATTTGTACTAATTGTACTAATGGTCCCTATGCTCTGCACCATTAGCTTTAAAATGTACAAATGATCCCTAAGTTTTTAATCATGCTTTGGTTGAGGGCCTTATATTTCCAGATGCCACCCACTTCATCTCAGACACTATTACAGTGGTCCTATGTTTGTCTGCAAATTATATGTATACATAGCACCCTGACTGCTGTAGACACACAAATGAACTTTGAGAATGACCTATGACCAAATGAGAGTTTTGGTAAGTGGATGTTGTCTTTGTCTCTCATCCTATCTGAATAATAGTATCTCCATTCAGTGGCAGCATTCCCTTAGATGCCCTTTGGGGCCTTAGACCTCCATGAATAATAATTCCTCCATGAATAATTAATAATTCATAAGTCCTAGATAATTCATTTGAGATCCCATAGTTGAATCTCATCCATAAGCTATTTGAACAATGGAGTTCCAGTGTTCCTTTTTTAATGTCTCACTGGCTCCTTGAGATAGGTAAACTGAACCTTTAAGCAAATTATTGTTAATTTAGGGGTATGCAAGTATTACAGGGCAAGCTTGGTGATAAATGAGAAATAGTCCTCTAAAACCCTCCCTGTGGAAAGCATGAGGACATAGACGAAGTGGCGAACTCACTATTTGCTCTTGCCATCTCATTTTTCAGGACCACATACTCTTCATACAATGGCCTCAGCTGCTTGCCAACCTCAGCCCTCCAGCCTTCCCAAGCCCAGAGCCTCTCGTTGTAGTCTGTGCTTGTTGCCATTATGACATCCAAACCTGTGGTCCCAAAGGAAAAGAAATGTGAATGTGAAGTACTTGTATTTATAATACAAATCATTTGTATTTGCATATAGAGAGACTTTAGAGAATTAAAAGGTTGGCAGACATCCAGGTCATTAAACAAAATGTCATGGTTAGGATCTTTGTACTTGTTATTAGATCCAAATACATCTGCAAAGGGGAAAAAAAGCATTGAAGTGATTTAATTACTGACTTAATTAAATTACTTGAATGTAATAGAATTTACAATGCGTTATTTCAAGTTAAAAGTATATCTATGAAGGGCTGTAGCTATGGCTCAGAGAACAAGCGTGAGGACCCGAGTCTAAATGCCCAGAACCCATGCAAAAAAAACCAAGTGTTGAAAGAGAGTGGGGAGGGGCTATGGGAGGGCTTCAAGGGAAGAAAGAGAAAGAAGAAATGTTGTAATTAAATTATAGTCTCAAAAAAAACACAGCAAGCTAGGCATGGCCAGGCATGCAACTGCAATCCCAGTGCTGTGAGGGACAGAGACAGAGATGTCTGGGGCTTGCTGGCTGCCAGTTTGGCTCCAGGCTTGGTGGGAGAGCTTGTCTCATGGGAATAAGGCAGAGAGCAACCAAGCAGGGCACCCAACATCTTCCTCTGACCTCGAAAAGTACATGAGCATACACATCTGTACACACACATGCACATATAACACACATACATACACACATTCACACGTACACACAATGAAAATAAGAACAAATCTTTTCGAAAGGAGAAACTGTGAACTGAAACACTTTGGAATGATATATCTTTAGATTATCCATCTGCAAAACACTGTGTCTAAGGTTTACCTCAGGCTGGGGAAATGACTCAGTCCAGAAAGTATTTGTTGTACAAGGATGAGAGCCTGAGTTCAGTTTCCAGAACTCACATTAAAAGTCAGGTGTGGTGGTATACACTTGTAATTCCAGCCCTGAGGAAACAGAGACCTAAAAAGCCTTTGGACTTCCTGACGAACCATAATATCCATTTGGTGGGTTCCCATCCCATGAGAGACCCTGTCTCAAAGAAAACTGTTAATGGTTCCTGATAAATGACAATTGAGGCTGTACTCTGACCTTGACACCCATGTGCACTTGCATATACATGTGTACTTGCACATACATAAACATACATCACACATTAGAAAGCTCTATCTCATTTATAAAATTTGAAAGAAAATAAAAATTTTATATCTACTACTGAAAACAAATAACCTACCTGGTTCCAGTAATAAGCATTCTTGTGGATTCTTTGGCTTGCAAACTTTTCCAGTACTGTAAATGGTGCTCATAGCATTCAGAATTGTGTTCAACTGCAAGTTAAACATAACAACTAGTGGTAGGCATGGAAAATGTACTATAAAGGGTGGTAGCATAAAGACATCCTTTTGGTCATAGGATTGTTTTTCTTATTCCCTTTTACTTAAAATAGATTATTTTCTCATATAATTTATCTTGATTCTAGTTTCTCCTCCCTCTACTCCTCCCAGTTCCACCTCTCCTCCCCTCCAGATCCTCTCCCTGCCTCTCACTAGAAAAGAAGAGGTTTCTAAGAGATAACAACCAAACATGAAGAAAATAAAATATAACACAATGAAGCAGAAATTGTTGTATCAGAGCTGGACAAGGCAACCAAACAAGAGGGGAAAAGTCCCAAGAGCAGGCCTAAGAGTCAGAGACCCACTCATTCTCACAGTCACAAGTCCCACTAAAATACTAAGCTAAAAGCTATAATATATACACAGAGGACCTGGTGAAGACCTGTGTTGACCCTGTGTTTATCTGCTTCAGTCTCTGTGACCTCATGAGCTCACATGATCATGAGATTTTTAAATGCCTCAAAATATAGCAATTCTTTGCCATGTATGTTTCTATGTATAGAGAACAAACAGCTTATGTAATTGCCTGTGCTATTAATTAGCACAGAATCTTGACAACCTGTAATAAATACATATAGATTAACGAAAATAAACATGTCACCTCAAACTCCCAGGCACATTTCTCACATTTGCATGGAGATTGTGCTTCAGTTTCTTTTAGCATTTACTAAGCCTCCACTATGTCCTACATTCTGATAATTCTGAACTAAACAAGTCTCTGACCTTCAAAGTCCCCCACGTCATGGAATAATAAGAGTCACGAAAGGGATCGCAATATAAGAGAATGGCAGGTACTGTAACTGTTACCAAAAAGTGATGTGGCAATATTAGCTAAGGAGTAGGGGAGGGGAGAATAAGGGAGGCTTGTAACATGGAGATTTAGAAATGGCTTCATATAGGAAAGGCCCTTAGAGTTGCATGTTTCAGAAGTAGAAATTGGTCTGATGAAGGAAAGGAGAGGGCGGATCGTACTGTGTGAAAGGCAAGTGGTGAGGGGAGTAGAAGTCCAGTGACAGTGCCCATTGAAGGGAATGGAGGCCGTGACAATGGAGAGATAGTGGGACCCTGATCACAGTCTATGCCACAATAAAGACCTGAAACTTTTCCCTGGAGGTACAGGGGAGTGGAGATACTGGGGAAAGCCCGGCTGCTCAAGGGCATCAGTAGGTGTAGTCAGCAAAAGGTTTATTTCCACTCTGAGATAAACACAGGAATGGAGGAAGTAAATGTCTATAAGCTTTTTGTAAAAATCAATAGACCCTTTATATCTAAGTACGAAACCAATGAACTGACCCACTTGTTGCTCTGCGGTGGGTTGGAAACACAGGAAGAAAGGAGAGAGAAATGAAGGAGAAGGAGGGAAGCAAGGAGAGAGGGAGGACTGATTTTTTCACACAAATCATTTAAATGCTAGATTTCTCCTACTGCCCCCATGTATTATTATTTTACTCTGATACAGACTCATTGTCTTGAGAACCCCCATGCTTAAAATTTCCACAAGATCCCATAGTCTAAAGCAATACATCTACCTTGGCACAAAATCCCTCATGGTCTGCTATTTCAGTCTCCCCTCCTTCCTCTCCATGCATCCTGAACTCTCCTCTGTTCTCAAACAATTCAATCTCTTACTTGCACTTTAGTGGTTTCCTACCCTGCCTACACATTGTAATTATCTGGGGCTCTTTTAAAATGAAAATGTCTAGCATGCACATAGACTATAGTAGCCTGTCTACTTTCGAATGGGCAAGATTTCTCATGGAGTCTTTGTTTAAAAAAATAGATGGAGAAACATGGACAAGACAAGATAAGGTAGATTAATAACTTAGTGGAATAATTAAATCCAAGGAATGTAGAATAATAAATATCAACTTGTAGAAACAAATACCATATGGCTTTATCTCTGTTCTTATCATGTACTTTTATTTTTATAAATGCCGATTAAGATATACATAGTTCCAGGGGACAAGCAACTGAGAAAGGAAACTTTGATGTAAAAGAGCTGAATGTTTTAGATAAAAATATTTCAATAGGCTATATCAGGGGTCTGCTGTGTGTTTTTATAAAGCTTTGTTGGAAGGCAGCCACATCCATTCATCTATGTATTATCTATGGCTGACTTCCTGCTCTGATGGCAGATCTGACTTGTTGTGACACAGACAATATGTTCTGCAAAACCTAAGATATTTATTTTAGGTATCTTTACAGCGTGCTTTCAAGTTTGCTGGCCCCCCGGACTGGGGGCATGGAATGAGAGATGGTATTTTAACAGGGTAAATACAAGAATTCTTGAAATCATCTCAGCATAAGATGTTTTTTAATGTGCCATTTTACAGCTATTTTGACACAAAAGACTTGGGGGCTTTATCAAGAGGCTGATATGAACTAACTAAGGCATTTAGCAATAAGAACAAACAAAAAGGAAAAAGCGTTGCTCTCGAATACTCCTAGATTGCCTCAGTCAGTGCAGCCCACAGTGTGCAAAATGTCATATTCCTGCCCACTTCTGTGCAGAGTAGAACCCAAGTGTCTTCTTTCACCCTCAAAAAGATGTTAATTTGGATCATAAATTTTATAGTCACCCTCCCTAGGTACAGAGCTGGCATGACTATCTTTGCAGATAAAGGGCTCATCCGAGTGAGCTGTAAATGTATATTACTTCTCACACATTTCGACTCTGGAGAGCAGGGCTAAAATGTTCACAACCACACCTGTTTGTTCTTGTCTGCGGAGAGGGCTGAAGACCCACTCTGTTGTAGGGCCTGCAGTTGACGCTTGATGATGAGATTTTGAATTTCTTGTAGTGAGTAATTTTTGGCAAGCTTCGACTGTTCTTCATAAAAGGCAGACCATTTGGCAGAAGCCTCATTCTGAAAAATAAATAAAAATAAAGTTGGATAGAAGATATAGTCCAAAGAACATCTGGTGAAACATCTACTACTTCCTGCATGGCTTAGTCCCTTACTTTGCTGAGGGTCAAGGTTTAGGTTAAAAGTAATCAGGCCACTCTTGGGCCACTTTCTTTCTGGCCCAGTGCCTAGTTTTCCCAAGGGTCCTGTCCCAAGAACTGGAAGTAAATTCTCACAGATAATTCACACTGTGAGGCCCTGGAACTTCTGGCCTTGGTGCTGTGACGTGGGTTAAGTTGGCTAAAGATTCAGGGATGAATGGTCTAAAACGAGAACCTTGCAGATCTCAGAGTAGACAGACACAAGGGGAATACAGTCCCTTGTGACCACCGGAACCATGAGAAATGAGAAGCAGATCAAAGAGAGCTCCTGGGTGCCATGGTTTAGTGCACGAATTTGGGCCTTTCATTGTGATCTCAAAGCCAGGTGGTGGTGGCACACACCTTTAATTCCAGCACTTAGGAGGCAAGGCAGGTGGATCTCTGTGAGTTCGAGGCCAGCCTGGGCTACAGAGTGAGTTCCAGGAAAAGCTCCAAAGCTACACGGAGAAACCTTATCTCAAACTGCCCCCCCCCCAAAAAAAAAATGTGATCTCAAAGGAAGGCTTCCTGGAGCAGGGCCATTTGGTAGGTTGATGATTTTCTAACAGCAACGAAAATCAACAGACAGGCGAGGATTCTGGTACCCACCTGCCCCCCATGCAGCCCCAGCTTGACAGTAAGCAAGATGGACTTCTTCTCTAGCACAGTCTTCTCTCAATGCACAACTTCACTTCCACTTGCCAAAGGATAAAAGGAGCAATTGCTTTCTCCAAGACATTGCTTTGGGCCACACAAAAGAGGTGGCAGGTGTGCTCCACTCCTGGAGTCAGACACTTCTGGCTAGCTGTGTGATTTTGGATGAATAATCTTTCCTATCTGCAGTTCTCTTACATGATTAAACAATTTTAGCAATGTGATTGTGACTAAAGGATTCTCATAAGGATTATAGCAATGAACACATAATAAAGTGCTCACCAGAGTGCCCCGACACATCCTAAGCATTTAATAAATGCTATTTCGTTGTGTATAGAGAAAAAAGTCCTTGTTATTAAGTTGCTTAGAATTGTATCAGATGAGTGGGATATGTATCAGGAATGCTTTCTCAATGAAACACAAGCATATAATAACATATGTACCACAAATGAATCAATCAGTTTATGTAATAAGAAGGTAAAAGTCAAATAGAGGTCCAAATTTGATGAAGTGTTCATAGAGGAGATGAGACTTAAGTCATCTTGAAGTAGGTAGGAGTTGGATGGCTGTAGAATGCTTTGAAAAACAATTTGCTTCCTTTTGAGCTTGTAAAAAACCCCACGTGATGGAAAATCATTGTGCCACTATTTTTATCTACTAACCAAGAGACTAAGCAAGGTAGTGGAGCTGGCAATCAACCCAGCATTCTGTCATAGAACCTATGGTAGACCAATCTGTGATGGCTTCCAAGATGCCTATATGTTATTGGTCACACCCATGTATGATATCCTCTTCAATGAGAATAGACTTATAAGCAATCACATGGAACAAAAGTAACAATATGTGCATATTTACATTATGTAAGACTGTCATTTTTATCTTGCTAGCAGGCCTTTTCCCTTGTGGACTGTAATGCAGCAAGATAACATGATATGAACTATTCCATGGAAAGAACTTCATGGCAAGAAACTGAGGCTGACCACTGACTACCATCCTGCAATTACCCAAGAACTTCAGTTCAGCAGAATGCAAAGATCTCAGTTAACCCTAGCCACACCTAGCTTGGCAGTGAAATTGGAGCCACACCTCCAATGCATCCTGATGAGACCTAGAAATAGAAGAAGCATGACTGGACTCCTGACTCACAAAAACTGTAGAATAAATGTGTGTGTGTGTGTGTGTGTGTGTGTGTGTGTGTGTTATACATTATGAGACTTAAAAAGTACTTTTAGCTCAACTTGCATTTTGCCTCCTGAACAATGCTCTTTCCTAAGTTATCCTTTTACATTTTATTTTACAGTTTATTCCATATCCTTCCCTTAAGGCTCCTGACAGCCTAGCTGTTACACAGAGACTCAAAGCCAGTTCATATCCATCTATTCAATTGCTTAGACTGTGGCTGCTGGCTACATGCAAATCATGCACCTGACTGATGTATGAAGCAAGGCTTAAACAACAGCTTCTATAGCTCCTCATCTTCAAGGACCAACCTCAGATGAAATAAGTAGCTTTCCACACTCCCTCTGTGCAAAAGCAGACAAGAAACCACTAAAACAGCCAAGTTTTCTACAGATACCCCGAGGGGTTTGGGAACAAGACACATGTTTTGTTTTGTTTGTTTGTTTGTTTTCAGGGTTTTTTTGTTTTTGTTTTTTGTTTTGTTTTATTTTGTTTTGAACAACCAGGGGACATTCACTGTCCAACTTCCATCTATAACTGTAGAGGATTCTATATTTCTATCCTGTGAGACTTCCTTGCAATTACAAGGACTACAAGTATAAACTACTAAACTCTACTTTTAAACATTCAAAAACCTATTGTAACTCTCTGTGAAAATTAAATCTGATGATTTCATTGTGGTTTTAAATGTCTGCATGTGAGCTTTTGTCTTAGGATGTAGGTCTAGTGACCCCTACCCAAATTGTGTCACTTTCATTTAAGCAGTAATTTTATCAAATAACATATATTTTCTTTTGTGTGACCCTAGATCTCTCTCTCTCTCTTTCTATCTCGTGTGTGTGTGTGTGTGTGTGTGTGTGTGTGTGAAAACTAGAAAGGAGACCATGGCAGAGGGGAAAATCCATGTTAAGGGAGGTGAAAGAAAAGAGGAAAGAGAAGAAAAGAGAGGATAGGACATAGAAGCAGAAGAAGGCCCTCTTGGGTGAAGACAGAGATGAGCAAGAGAAGAGAATAGGAAAGTGAAGACTGAATATGAGCAATGCATGCATGAAAATGCTACAATGAACCCTCTTACATTATGTTATCATTTAAAAATTAATTTAAAAGATAGTGAATTTAAAAAACCACCATATTCTGGAGTGAAGAAAAAGAATCTAGCTATCCATGTTATTAATATAATTGTATAGAATTAGTACTATATAAACTTCTTATTCCCTAGGCAAGTCTTTATGACCTATATTTGCTTCTTTCAAAATTATAAATCAGGGCTTCATCCTTTAATCAGGGCTGATAAATTATAGCCCTTGGGCCAAGCTCAGATATCACCTGTTCTTTCTTGAATAAAGTTTTATTGGTAAGCCACACATCCATTTATGCCATACTGTCTATGGCCGCTTCCTCTGCACAACTGCAGGGCTGGGTGCTTATAAAGAAACCATAAGACCTGCGAAGCCAAGAAGATACACTGCTTAACACTTTACTAAAAAGATTGTTGGCCCCTGCTTTCAATGAAGAACTATCGTAACTTTTAAGGCCTGTGAAGTATTTAATGTGCTAAACTACGCAGCTATCCCATTGAAAAACTGTGAACACACAGATGAGAACAGTTTCTTCTTGTGATAAGTTGCTGGAGATATAAAGCACTGCTGTCTTACCTTTTCTTTTTCTAGAGCTCAATGAGGAGACGTTAGACCATCAGCAACCTCCCAACACTACACCTATGCAAGTTCTCTGATGACAGAAAGAAAGAAAGAAAGAAAGAAAGAAAGAAAGAAAGAAAGAAAGAAAGAAAGGAAGGAAGGAAGGAAGGAAGGAAGGAAGGAAGGAAGGAAGGAA